CTCCTGGAGAGATGCTAACCTCACTGTTAACAGTGAGTCCAGGACTCAGGCATTCAAGGATGGGAGAATGCCCTTTGCACCCTCTTCATCTTTATGTGCATCCATGAAGGGTTGGGAACAATTAAGCATGTAAGGTGAGCTTCCTGGACTCAAATGGGACAAGAAATTCATCCTCACTCTTGAGGATGCGGTTTGGTAGTGTGAACACTCGCCTATTTCGAAATAACGGGTTATTCTGAAATAACTCCCCAGTGTAGACATGCCCTAAGAGCCCTCACGATCTAATCCGACTGCCAACTTTCTCCTACCGGACATAGCTTTCCAAGGCCAGCAGCACTGTGATCACACAATCTGACTTGTATAACACAAGCCACAGAACTTCCCCAAAATAATTCCTCGTGCAGATCTTTAGAAAGATAACCCTAACCTGGTTTCAGAAATGATCAGGGAGGGAGAATCCACGATGGCTCTGGGTAAATTGTGCACTCAAGCAGCCATTCAAGAGAGATTCCAATGCTGCCCAGCTGATTAGCAGGGCACCCACAGTTAGGTTCTTTGTTTCTACAAGTGGTGCACATTCGCACATGCCTCAGTGCACATAAAACATTTATTCTGTACATGGATGGAAAAGACTTGAGGGAACACTGGCTTGCGGATTCAAGGGCCCAAGGAATTGGCAAGCAAGTTCTTACAATATAGGCTACGTAAACTGCACCAACCAGCATGCAATTGTAGCATCTGCAAACGTAAGACACAAATTCCGTGTCGCTGTAGCTGCCCTGCCTTGCTGAAAAGCCATCAGGTTGTGGGAAGGAGGTGGAAGCTGTAGACTCAGGAAAGCACATCTCTATTTGCAGAGAACAGCTGTATTGTTTGCACTGCTCTCAACTCTAATTTGTTTTAATGCTTCATCAACCAGACTACAGACCACATGGACCCAAATATTTCAACAGCCTTTCAACCGCTGTAATCATGAAGAATGAGTATTAAGGGCCTGATTCTGCCCTCATATATGCATAAAGCGCACTTGTTGACGCCAGTGTGAGCTGTTTATGCAAATCAGAAGTCAGAATCTGGTCCTACCAGCAAAATAACCCTCCTTTCACCTAGTGTTTTAATATTACAGGATTAGGTCACAGCCTGAATTGCGGGAGATCGGAACCGCAGACTACCAAACCCAAATGTTTGGGGGACCAGTAACATTTTATTTTCATATTTGCGTGCTCCAACAGCGGAGGGGTGAGTGGGGGGGTGCGAGGCGGAGGCTGTAGCGCCCTGGAAGCCAGCTGCTGTGCAGCAGCTCAGGGGGTCAGGGTGTACACTAGCCATGGCACCCAGAGCTGCTGCAAACAGCTGGCTTCAGCTCCGGCAGCCACCATAGCCCGGCAGCCAGTGGTTCAGAATGCTGATCTAGAGAATGGCACGGATGGATCTGGCATCTAGGTTTACACCAGCTTAAGGCTTTGGCTCAGTCACCTGGTAGCAACACTTGGTTCACATTATCATTGTATATCGGTCTCACATGATATTCTTATTGATAAACTAGGCAAATATAACTTAGATAGGGCCACGATAAGGTGGGTGCATAATTGGTTGGATAACCGTAGTCAGAGAGTTGTTGTTAATGCTTCTAAATCCTGCTGGAAAGGGATAACAAGAGGAGTTCCTCAAGGGTCTGTTTTGGGACCCGTACTGTTCAATATCTTCATCAATGATGTAGATATTGGGATAGAGAGTACGCTTATTAAGTTTGCAGATGATACCAAACTGGGTGGGGTTGCAACTTCTTTGGAGGATAGGGACATAATTCAAAATGACCTTAGCAAGTTAGAGAAATGGTCAGAGGTAAACAGGATGAGGTTTAATAAAGAGAAATGCAAAGTGCTCCACTTAGGAAGGAACAATCAGTTCCATACATACAAGAGGGGAAGCGACTGTCTAGGAAGGAGCATGGCGGAAAGGGATCTAGGGGTCATAGTAGACCACAAGTTGAATATGAGTCAACAGTGTGATGCTGTTGCAAAAAAAGCAAATATGATTCTAGGTTGTATCAACAGGTGTGTTGTAAGCAAAACTCGTGAAGTTATTCTGCAGCTCTACTCTGCACTAGTTA